GGTAAAATCACGACCTTACAACTTTTTGCCGTTTTAACCAAACTTTTGGAATTTAGCAAACATAACATAACCTTGTCTATTTTTTGGCAATTCGAATCACAGGGCCGTACTTCGGGCTTTGTCTGTAGACGTGGCGGATGACATGGCGATTTCTGCTGAAGTGGCGGATAACATGGCGATTTATGGTGACGTGGCGGTAAGATTTATGGTGACGTGGTGGTAAAAAATTAAACAACACTGGGGTTCGAACTTAGCACCTCCACCTTATAATATGGCATTGCAACCACCACACCAATCCAAGTTGTATGTTCAATTTAGAAACGCCTAATATATATGGACAATACGTATGAATGAATCAAATTAAATTTAAAAGTCAATATAAATTTTAAAATATATTAATAAGATATAAACTTATAATAATTAAAATATAATAAAAATTATATAATATTAAATGAAAATAATATAATATTAGATAATAAAGTGTCGAAAATTGGAAAAGTAAAAAAAAAATCAATTAAAATAAATAGAAATCTTAAATGAGTATAAAAAAATTAAGAAATGTTATTTGAGATTATTATAATTAATAATTTATTAAATTATTATATTAAAAATTATATAGATAATTTATTAAATTACTATATTCAAATTTTTTTATTTTATTATAATTAATAATTAATAAAAAATAATATAAATAATTTATTAACTAATTATATTAAAAAATGAATATAATAAAATCACGAAATATTATATGAATATAATAATTTATTAAATTATTATATTAATAAAAATATAAATAAGTTATTAAATTACTATATTCAAATAATATTTTTTTATTTTATTGTAATTAGTAATTTATTAGCTTATTATATTAAAAAATGAATATAATAAAATAATGAAATATCTTTTGAATATAATAATTTATTAAATTATTATATTAAAAAATAATATAAATAATTTATTAAAATAATATATTTAATTATTTTATTATATTTACATAATTAATTTTTTTAATAAATACGAAATATATAAGTTTATTTAAATTTAATTTAATTTAAATTTACTCTACCACAAAAAAATTTATCTTACTTTATTTTAGTTTATTTTTTATTTAATATTACATAATTTATTTTGTTATGTTTTAATTATTATAATTTATATCTTATTAATATAATTTAATATAATTTACATTATATTTTAAATTTAATTTTATTTGTTCATACGTAGTATCTATATATATTAAACACTATTAAATTTGACATACAACTTGGGTTGGTGTAGTGGTTGCAATGTTATTATACAAACTTGAGGTCCCAAGTTCGAACCCCAGTGTCATTTATATTTTTTATCGCTACTTCAGCAGATATCGCCATGTCATCCGCCACATCTGCAGACAAAGCCCGAAGTTCGGCCCAGTGATTCAAATTGCCAAAAAATAGATAAGGTTATGTTATGTTTGCTAAATTCCAAAAGTTATTGCCAAAAAATAGACAAGGTTATGTTATGTTTGCTAAATTCCAAAAGTTTGGTTAAAACGGCAAAAAGTTGTAAGGTCGTGATTTTACCGGCAATTAGGCCTTTTTTATTTAGTATTAATATCATTATTTAAAAAAAAAACTTACTAACATTCTTATTGTTATATATTAACCTTTATTTTGTGATGTTTGATTTGACACTCATATTATATGGATAAATAAATAATAGTATTTATAAATTTAATAATTTTATTATATAATACTTTATTTATAAAATGAATTTAAATTTATTATTTAAAATAGTAATTTAAAAATAAGAAATTGCTCTCAAGTTATTTGTGTAATGTAATATAATTGTATATATACTAAAATATATTTAGTATGAAATAATCTAAAATAGCATATGGTATGTTTATCCCTCTTGCAATTTAAAAAATAATGCTAAAATTTAAAAAATATGTAAATAACTATTTCGAGAATTAAGTATGTACGATATTTATAAAATGATAAATCAACTGGTCATTTACCGAGCTTCAATGTAAATTATTAAATTATAAAGAATCAAAATATCTAAATATACATTTTTATAAATTATAATAAACAATCGAGTGATCTCGAACTGTCACATAAATTACAATAAACTCAGAAAGAAAATTAAAATATTTATAATATATATTACTATAAGTTGTGATGACGTATGAGTAAGGGAAGAGAGATAAATATTTGTGTGAATATTATTTATTCACAATGTTTGAATATGTTAAATTTTATGTTCCTTAATTCTAAACAGGAACTATTTTATAACGAGTAAAATACATATATAAATTATATATTAAACTATTACATATAATAAACATAAATAAATAAAACTGTAACAAGGGATTTAATGAAAAAAATAATTTTTTTTGTACAATTTGATTTTATTTCGATCAAATGACATTGTGAGTACAATCTTTATATGGAACTCAGTGATTCTTCTCTTCGTAGACTTAGATTTGATCTTCAAACTTGGATTTGAAGATTAGATCTCCTTTATGCTTGAGTTTGAATTTGTCTAACGCTAATTAGAGGTCGAATGCCTTGATCTCGAATTAAACGATTTGGACTTGATTTGATTGGAGACAACTTCTTGGAGGACTTGCTTCTTCGATCTTCCCAAATTATGGATTTTGACTTGAATAACGTAGACTCAAGGGTCTTATAGCTTTTTCCTAATCAAACGCTATGTTGGTTGAACTTCTCGACGAATATTAATGTCGTTTGAACGCCGTTGATATTATTGAAATAATTTGAGAGGAGTGGATGTCGTCTCTTTATTTATTGGAGAACCGCCACCTCTTTTTCTTCTTCTTGGCCTTCTTCTCCATTTAGCATACTTCGGAGGTTAGAAGGCTTGATTCTGGATTGAACACCGATCTTCAACTTGAATGTTCTTGGATCTTCAAGAACGTCTTCAAATCTTCAAGAGAGTTAAAGTGAAGGACCTACGACAATGCCTTTCTCGTACCGGGAAGCAAAAATTGAGCTCGACGCTAATAAAAGAATCTTTCAACTCATTGTTTGTATGCCGCCATGTCCTCCAGTTGGAGTGCAGTGGACCTTTATTCATTCGACCCAACTTTCTTTTGTTCCATTCCCAAAATTCAAACAAGATTTTGTACCGAGTCAAGAAGAATGAAATATCCTCAAAACTCTCCATTGATACGACATGCTATTTTTTCCTTTTATTCCTTTTCAGGATCAATCGCGGTCTTTCAAACTTTACCAACGGTATGGACGAATTCCTCACTTCATCCAAATGTATAAAAGATTCTAGCCGCACTTAAAAGCCGAGTACTCTGCCGTTGAGTTAGCAACCCGAAGAAAATAGAGATTAAACAAAACTTCCACGAAAGAGCATATAGATACAATCAAAATTCATTCAATTTAAACAAAGAAAAAGAAGAGTGTATGGGCCAATCAAACCATTGAACTAACAAATTTACAAAAAACAGATTTCGTAAAAGATCCGAAACATAAAAGAAAAATGATTAGATGATAATATAAGAAATTTTCGGATAAAAGAAAAAAAATATACAGAATGCTAGAAATTGCTGAGAGCCATATTTATCGGTGTAAAAGAGAAAGTCTTGAAGAAGAAGATATCAATTTGATTGCTCCATCAAGATTTGATATAATCTATTTTTTTATCCTAAGATTTGACTTGGTGATTAAAATATATTTACTTTATTATTTAAATACATTATTTATCTTGAATTTATGTCTAAAAATAAATAAAGACATTAATTATTAAAATATTAATATTTTAATGTCTACAAGACGACAAAATTAATATTAATATTTAAAATTATTTTTATACTAATCAATAATCATCACTGCTTTAGATTATAATTTATTATTATTACCCATGTACATCAGATGTTACTTGATGAAAGTTTAAAATTTATTTATGTACGTAGATATAGTTATTTTATATTTTATATATGATATAAAACCAAAGATTGTGGAAAGATTATTAATTTTATACATCATATATGAAAAAATATAAAAACAAAGAAAAGCTTTCAAAATTTTTATAATATGAATTAGTCGAATATTTTATTAATTTAAAAGTCTAATAGACATATAAAAATTTAACTCACATCAAATTTAGGCCATAAATTAATACGTTGAAACACCATAAATTAATAAATAAAATTAGAAAGTACCATAAGTTACACATATTTTTACACGATACCTACACTTGAGCTCGACAAATTGTGCAAGAAAGATACTATATAGCAAGTTGCCAAAAATATTATATAGCTCTAGTATATAAAATTACTTGTTGAGAGAAAATCTAAATCCGGTTGACTAATCTACCTGGATTCATGATATTGACTAATGTTACATGCACCCATTCCTTGTCCTCTCCACACAAAGTTTCTGTCTTTACATGAATGCAAGTTGCAGTAAGAACAGGTTGACTCTTGGGGGAGGAGCAAAGAGGAAAAAGTCAAACCCGCGAAAGCCTTGAATAAAATAGTAATATAATAATTACCAGTGGCCAGCTTCTCGTGAAGCCAGCCCCAAAGACGACATTCACATTTATGATTTTGGACATAACGGGTCATCAATAGGCATATCTGTCTCGAGCTTACTAGTATTATTTTACTCTTTTTTTCTTCTGCTCTTTCACACGGAGCGCCTTGAATTTTGGTTCGACTATCTTGACCAGTATCAAGATTCCTTTTTTATTCCCCCCTTTGATTAAATTTCATTCATTTTGTGAAGAGAAAGTGGGGAATTTTGTGCGTGGGGATTTTATCTTTGATGGGTTCGTGCTGCAGTGTACGGATAAGGGCTGATCATAGTCCTCCTCGTCGAGGTGGTTAGTCAGCTCTGCTTTGCTGTCTTAATTTTTTGCTTTTGTTTTCTTGGAGCTTTATAAAGGGTTTAATTTGTTTTTAAGATGAATTGTGGTTTTTCCATTATTTGATGATGGGAAATTCACCTTTACAAGGGGTTTATTTTGTTTGCAGATAAGAAGCTGAATTGAGTTTTTCCAGTTTTGCAGAATCGAAATTACTTTTGTCTTTTTTATTAACTTCCTTACCCTTTTAAGGTGTTTCTGTTCTGAGGATGAATTTGAGGTTTCCCTTTTTCCTCATTTCTTACTTNAATCCATATGTTGGTAATTGTATACTGCTTGAGATCTGCAAATTTCAAGAGAATTGAACTTTATGCATTATTTATACTTAATCATTGTTAGGCAGATGTTAGCATTCACATGGGGTGAAGTTATGAGAATTGCTATCTACTTCTACTTCTTCATATAACACTATTTCACTATTAACTGCAAAAAAGTTTGTTTGATTGGATTTTAGATAATCACTAAAATTGTTAATTGAAAGAGATACCATTGAATCCAAGAACACCCAAGAAAGAATTTAAGAAATTTTGTTGAGTGCGCGTAAAATTCGAGCCTAAATTACACCCCCATTGCTTGTAAGACAACCGAAATAAATTACTTCAAATATGTAATTAGGTCCGAGTCCGAGACATGCCAGCTTTGATGGACGAGAGACGAGCAGCCGACGCTCGTCTTCTTCCTTATCAGCTCCTTTGACCCCACGCAAAGAGGGCGAAATCTTCGAGTCCACAAACTTGAAGAGCTTCGGTTTTAATGATCTCCGGATAGCCACACGAAACTTCCGCCCAGACAGTGTTTTGGGAGAAGGTGGCTTCGGTTGCGTTTTCAAAGGATGGATTGACGAGCACACGTTCAAAGCTGCAAAACCGGGCACTGGAATGGTTATTGCCGTGAAAAGACTCAATCAAGAAGGCTTTCAAGGTCACAAGGAGTGGCTAGTAAGTAACAATATGCCATTCCTTATTTTTTTTTTTTTTTTTGNCGACTAAGAGGGAGTGACTGTTTGAAGTTTGATGTACTATTTTCCTCCTTTTTTTTTTTTAAAGTTCGTGGAGATTATGATGATTATATTGTTCGTTGCTTGATTTGATTCCTTTTTTTCCTTTTGGGTTCTGTAATAATTTTCTTGTCCTGATCTTTTTTCAAATTGCAGACTGAAGTCACTTATCTGGGACAGCTATACCATCCCAATCTAGTGAAACTGATTGGTTATTGCTTAGAAGACGAGCAAAGGCTCCTCGTTTACGAGTTCATGCCACGCGGAAGCTTGGAGAATCATCTATTCAGGAGTAATTACTAATTACCTTATAAATCTCAAAATATATTCTAATACATAAGTATAACCGAGACTTTTAGCTTTTAGCTTTCTTAACATGTTTGTTCGTCCTTCCTTAACAGGGACTTCTTACTTCCAACCTCTGTCTTGGACAGTTCGTATGAAGGTTGCTCTTGGAGCAGCAAAAGGACTCGCATACCTCCACAGCCCTGCTGCTAAAGTTATTTACCGTGATTTCAAATCCTCCAATATTTTACTCGATTCGGTACGCTTCAAAAAAATTTTTATATATAATTCAGTTGGATTGTTTAAAAAAATCCGAACATACGTATTTTTGCTGATGGGCTAATTGCACAGCATTATAATGCGAAACTGTCTGATTTCGGGTTGGCCAAGGATGGGCCGATTGATGGTAAAAGCCACGTGTCAACTAGAATTATGGGTACTTATGGCTATGCAGCTCCAGAGTATATGGCCACTGGTATGAAAAAATCACATTTTATCGAGAAACAAAAAGCGTGATAAAAAATCTTGAAAACCGATTTTCTGTGTGTGTGTGTGTGTGTGTGCAGGGCACTTAACTGCTAGAAGTGACGTGTACAGCTTCGGTGTAGTTCTCCTGGAGATTCTCACGGGGCGGCGAGTACTGGATAAAAACCGGCCGCACGGAGAACAGAATCTCATCGAGTGGGCCCGGCCATACTTAACTAGCAAACGTAAAGTGCTTCGGGTGATGGATGGGCGCATAGAAGGCCAGTATTCGCCAACTGGGGCACTAAAAGCTGCGACTCTTGCTGTGAAATGCTTGGCTTTGGAGCCCAAGTGGCGGCCCACGATGGTTGAGGTTGTTAAAGCATTGGAGCAGCTTCAGGACTCGGGGAGTCTGAAAGCAGCCGGCGAACGACTTGCGGAAGATTCCGGAAGGAAAGCGGCTTCTTATCCGAGGCCTGCAGCATAGGTGGATAAATTTGTATTTGGTGAAAAGGAAATGCTGTTTGTATTTTGGTTTTAAGTCGTGGCATGGCTGGCTGGCTTTTGAGGGGAATTCTGCACAGTTTCAATTTGTTCTTCGGTGACAAGATTGTTGTTAACTTGATGTTGTATAAAACTATGTAATAATTTTGATTCTGCAGAGTATGAACTTGCACATGCGTTGTTAAATCCACCTGCTGAACCAGAAAATTTTGTGAGGCCGGGTAAAAAATAGTTGAAAGAAATTTTCAACAATGTTGTACAGAATATTAATATTATTAGCAATTAAGAAAAGGGAAGATTCCATTGCAGGTTTCGATCTTTTGGAATTGTATCAATTTAAGGCTTGAATTTTATTCGAAGGTTTATATTTTAGGTTATTTTCAATTTAAGGTTCACCACTTTTTTTCGTTAACTTTTCTAGTTAACTTTTCATTGTAAGACTCATCTAACTTTACTTTTTTAACATAGATATGTTAAGCAATTAACTTTATTTTATGATATAGTTATATGAACAAAAATATTATTTTTTTATTTTTTATAATTTATTTTTTACATACTTATAATAAAAAAACAATAATTATCGTCAGTAAAAACACCATAATAAGAAAATGAAGCTATACAAATTGCATTTTTGCAAAATGGTTATATTAAAAAACTAATAGGTGAATTTTAAAAATATGTAATTGAAATATTATTTTTATTAGTAATCTAAATATGTAATGAACTAAAAATAATATTTAAATAATATTGCCTTCATTTTAGCTTTTCAAGATTTTAACTTTTATTTTTGGACGCAAAAGTTGATATCATGTCATTGTTGGCTGAGAATGATATATTCTTGTAGACTGTATTTAAATATTATTTTTATTTTTATTACATATTTAGATTATTAATAAAAATAATATTTCTATTACATATATTAAAATTCACTTATTAATTTTGAAAACAATCATTATTAAACTTTTCCAGAAATGTAATTTGTATAGCTTTATTTTCTTATTAAGATAATTTTACTAAAGATATTATTATTTTTTATTATAAGTATGTAAAAATATAAATTACAAAACATAAATAAAAAAAATAATATTTTTGTTCATATAACTATATCATAAAATAAATTTAATTGGTTCACATATTTTTTTATTGAACCTTACAATGAAAAGTTAACTAAAAAAGTGAACCTTAAATTAAAAATAACATAAAATATAAACCTTCTATTTGAGAAAGAATAAAATTCAAACTTTGAACTAATACAATTCTAAAAAGTTGTGTCTTGTAGTGAAGTTTTCCCTTAAAAAGTAGTATTGGTTTTGAGCGGATATATTTTTTTTGTATATAAGCACACCCCTAAACCATGCCATGTTCAACTTCCAAAATTGGCGCACCTCTAAAATGCTTTAAACTCTCAAATAAGAACCAAAACTCTCCGCTAAATCCTTCAAATTCCCGCCATAACACGCCGGAGAAATTAGGGTTCGAATCCCAGCTGCCCCCGACCCAAGTTTGCCTGAAAGAAAATGGCCGGCGGATCTGAGCCTCAAGCCTCTGCATTTTCGGCAGCTGAGGTCCTTGTTCGACGTCCTCATTTTTTTTTTTTATATATATATATATTTTGTGATTGTCCTGATGCATCGATTTTGTTTTCTATTTTTCTGATTATTTATTTTTAATGTTAACCTGCAGTTGGAATTTCTTGCGGAAGATGAGCTGATCGAGATTGTACCGAATATGAGAATGGATCCGCTAAATTTTATCTCTGTATTATCTTCTGTCCATGAATTCTTCTCATTCCTCTATCACTAGCGTGTTTTTATGTTATGTTTTCCAGTTCTACATCATGAACTGATTTTCTCTTTACAATTTCCCTTGTTTAACTTGCGAGATGGATAGGGTGATTTTGGCCCCTTTCGGCCGCAAATAGCAACTCAAGTGCCACTATGGTTGGCCGTAGCCTTGAAGAAGAGAGGCAAGTGCATTATTCGAGCTCCGGAATGGATGTCTGTTGGTGAGTTCAGCACATAAAACCAGTGCGCGCGTGTGTTTATCTTTTTATTTTTTCGCATTTATTTGATGCCATTATCTTCCAACAATATTTGAGCTGATTGCCAAGATTCTAGAGTTGTCATCCATCCCTTTTTTGGCCGCAAGTGTGTTGATTCTTTTCCTCAACGAGCTTGATTTATTAAATACGTCCATTGTGTATGTTTGAATCAATGTGTTCAAGTGTAGTAGCTAAAGATCAGTATTTGGAACCTAGTTATCCTCATATTTGGAATCAATGTGCTCTTATTGACCTTTTCTTCACTAGACAGCTAGACAAAAGTAAATCCAGTGTATCCAGGGGTTTATCACGATAGAGATGACAAGTAGATCCTCCATATAATCAATTAGGTTGATCCACCCCATCAGCCCGATACTCAAGTTCATCAGCTTGAGTGAAACTTAATGCAATCTTCAAGGCATTTGAATCGAGCTACAGGTCCTAAATCGAGCTCAGCTAATCAAAAGCTTTCCTAGCTCAAGCTACAAACCACTCATGTATAAGGAACAGACATAGCAATTCATATGGTTCTGTGAGTATTTGAGTTATGCAGTCCCTGCAAACTAGATATGGATTTGGTGGCTATTTAATTATAATAACAGGTAATGAGCACGCGGAAAATGTGAGAGTTCATGTTTCCCATATTAGGATTTTGTGTTTTAATAAGTAAAATTAAGATGAAATCGAGAATGTAAGAATGCACATACCATACATCCCTTGGTATACATCTATACACGAGCTATCAGCTATGAGATTAATATGGAAGTCATCAGTTGCTTGCCTTCAACATCTTGGAACAGTATTATCTCATCTTGTTCATCGTTTCTTATCATGTCAACTTTGTATAAATCAAATGATTTTTGACTATACATATTATGCTGAGAGTAAAAAGGACTCCTTTCTTCAGACATCTTTTTCATGCCATTCACAGATTTGCACATACAATTTTTTCTGTTCTAATGTAAATCCGTTAGTTGGATTGGGTTGTGATTTGTACTTTATGATCCAATACAAATAACACACCATGGTTGTGCGATTATGTATATGGTTTCAGTCTCTAATGCGATGTAAAAGTGCAGTAGAATGAAAATCATCCATAACCAAGTCCTATATCCACTTTTCTTCTGAGCCAAATATAGCAGAGTAGAGATGCTTTAAATTTGAAAATACATATAAGATCATGTAAAGTTATCATACAATAAATGTAAAACATATTCTTATCAGTTTGTGTTGCAAAATAGAAAAATACTTATTATACAAAGCTTTTGCTATATTTTTTATGGTTTTCTTTGGCAGATTTATTATCTACAAAACAGAAAGTTCATTTTNACTGTAGGTTGGCTTCTTTTGAAAATTTGGAAATTCTTGACATTTTTCTTCCTTGAGAACATCCGACCCCTTTAAAGGTGATTGGCTATCTAATGGTAAAACAGCTTGTGAATTGTCATAATACAAAGCTATCTTGTTTAGTTTCAAGTTCTCTAGCTATATAATACAAACTCATGGGTGTAGATTTCTTATATTTGTGTGCTTTTCTAATAGATAACTTAACACAAGTGCTGGAAGCAGAGCGCGATTCTGAGAAGTTTCAGCTCTTGCCATTTCATTATGTAGAAATATCAAGGCTTCTTTTTGATCAGTAAGTATTTCCATACGTATACATTTGTCCTGTATGCTTTGAATGCAGTGTTGTAAATTCTTCTTTTTTTTTTCCTTATTTAGTGCTCGAGAAGACATTCCTGACATCTACATGGTTAGTATGCTGATTCACATCCATAATTCTTTCTTTGCCTTTTGATGTTTTCTGGAAATTTGATTTCATTCTCCATGTAGGTAAGGTCCCTCATTGAAGACATCAAGGACGTAAGATTTCATAAAATTGGGACAGGCTTGGAGATTATCTCGAAGGAACGTACTTATGCACTGAGGGTATGGTTCACACTCAGTTCTAAATGTATGCCTGCATATTTGTGTCTGGCCTTGGAGAATAATTTTCTTAGTAAACTGTTCTTCATCAAGAAAAGTAAAGGGAAAATCATTTCATTGTGTCATGATTATGTTACTCGGTATATGGATGAAATAATTGCTGTCCTACCAAAATCAGATAATTGTTTTAAATTAACTCTATTTGGTCCTGGAATTCTGTGTGGATTGATATTTAGTCAAGAGATGTCATGTGATCTGTTGTCTTACCTTAGGTGATAACTTTTACCTTGATAATGAAAGTACTTTTCATGAAAAACCATACTTCTGTGAAAAAAAAAACCATAATGGTTGAAATTTTGCAGCTTAAAAATTTATCCGCTATGGAAGCAAATATAGTGCGTCCATTTATAACGAGAGCTCTTGAGACGTTTTATAAGCTTAGTAGTTCTGAAATGATGCAAGAATCAGACCATGTGCCTAATAGACAGCCCCAAGCAACCAACCGTGGGCCAAGAGTAAGTTTTCTTTTACTTTTCGGCTGCTTTATTTCGCCTTTGGTGACTCGAGAATCAGATTTGCTCATTTCTCTGTATGTTCCCCTTCAGAATGAAACCACCCTAATTTAACTTTTGAGGAATTATTTGAAATAACTATCTTTTTCCTTTCATATTTTCCGAAAACTGATGACAAGATATTTTCTGATACTCTTTTGCGCCTAAGGTTTATACATATATATATATATATATATATATATATATATATATATATATATATATATATATATATATATATATATATATATATATATATATATATATATATATATATATATATATATATATATATATATATATATATATATATATATATATATATATATATATATATATATATATATATATATATATATATATATATATATATATATATATATATATATATATATATATATATATATATATATATATATATATATATATATATATATATATATATATATATATATATATATATATATATATATATATATATATATATATATATATATATATATATATATATATATATATATATATATATATATATATATATATATATATATATATATATATATATATATATATATATATATATATATATATATATATATATATAGTTACATTGCCTTTGAAATTAGCATTTTGACTTTCGTCTTCTCTTGATTTTCAGCGGCAACTGAAAGATAGATGATACAATCTGGAGTTATGACCAAATATCTTTGCCAATGTGTACCAAAATTATGAACAATTATCACCTTAGATGCTCTCACTGGACTAATGCTATTATCTATTGCTTTTTATTTTCTATGTATCTTGTATTAAATGTCTTACACCTAAACAGTTTTGTTGTAATTTATGCCTACAAGCCATTGGATTAAGGGGGTTGTGGACTAAAGCTACTCTTTGAATCGGTGTTGCATGTGTGAATTGGTTTCTTTTAACCTAATTTTATTTATATTATTTTAAATTATAGCATTTTAACATAAAAGTATGCATAGGTAATGAAAAAAAAAAATATATGACGGTTATCTTAATTAAATGATTTTTGGTCATCTTTTATAAATTTTGATAAAAAGTAGTCTTAATATTAAAATTTATTGTTTGTTCCGACAATCGAATCAATAGCAAATGGTAATGTACATATTCCCCCGTAAGGCTTATTGAAGAATGGTGGTATATGTATGTTTTTGTTACAGTATTTTATAATTTTTTAGAAAAATGTATAAATATAATATTATATTTAATAATAAGTATGTATTTTCCGTCATATAATACGACAAATGGATCCGCGTAACGCCTCATACAAAAATTTACAATTAATCTATGTCCCCTAACTGATAGATCTAGATTCTCGTGTAGAAGGTGATAAGAAGTCTGGCACCACAGGTGTATCATGCACCTAATATTCCCAACAAAAAAAATAGCTTCCAGACGTATCTTTATTTAAATGGTCGCACTATTTTTATTATTATCCGCTATGGTCGCACAATAGTTAATTTTCAAAATTTTGAATTAAACTGAGATTTTGAATTTATATTGAAATAATATTTAAAATATAATGATTAAAGTTGATTTGATGTAAAAGAGGATATATATGATTGAAAAGTGTTGATTATTTAAAATTATGTGAGTGGATGAATATTAAATTATATTTGATGTGTAAGGATGACTGATTGATATTATTAAATTATATTGATAATAATGAGGGTTGAATAACTTGAATTAAATAAAATTTCAGTTAAATTTTGATGTTAAAAAAATTATTTGATAAAAAATGACTTGATAATTCATAACCAATCATGACCTAACAAATGCAACACTACAATAAAATATGCTCCAAGTTCGTGTGGTGGTTGAATTCAGCTCAATTTTATTTATGTGATGTTGTGATTGAATATTGATTTGTAATTGTTTGGCTTTGATTGGTTTTTTATTAATCATAATTAATTTTAAAAAGTTGGTTGACTTAGGTTTGAATGAGATTTTAATTTGTATTAAAATAATATTTAGAATAAAATGATTAAAGTTGATTTGATATAAGAGTAGGATAGGGGTGAATTGAAGTGATGAGTAGTTAAAATTATGTGAGTGAATGAATAATAAATTGAAGTTAAATGTGATTTGTAAGGATGATTGATTGTATTATTTACTTATTTTGATAGTATTGAGGATAGTATTATTGAAAATTTGAATTAAATTTTGAGTTAATAAACTAGATGATAAAAAGTGATTGATTTTTGATTGGATATTCACACCCTAACCAAGTTATCAAATGAAAGCTAAACTATTTGTATATTAAGGGCAACTTTAAGGTCATCTTTAATAGAAGGTTTTGAAGAGGTTTGAAAATACAAACCTTACTTTAACAATGTGTTTTACTCTAGGTTTATAACTTTACTCCTACAGACTTTATTAGAGCATCTTTAGCGGCAGGTTTTGAAGAGGTTTATAAATGTAAACCTATGGGTTTTGTTGTTAGAAAGGAGAGGTTTAAGGTTTGATAACAAAAACCTGTGTTAACTGTACAAACCTCCTCTAAACCTCTAAAAGTTGAAATAAAAAAATACAAAGAAAATAAAATGGTGAGGGAAAGTTGCGTGTCCATGTGCAGTGTGATGTAATGTCCCTTTTTTATTTTCTTTATTCTTTTTTCTTTTCAACTGATTTTTGTTATAATTTTTTTTTATCTTCACTCTTTTTCATATTTTCCTTTTTATTTCTTCTCTTTTACGTTTTTTAATTCCTTTCCATTTGTTTACAAATTTTATATCGTTAAAAAATTATAATAAATATTGAATTTTAATTTTTTGCTAAAAAGAATTTTGTTCAAATAGTGTATATGTACTTATGTAGTTATCACAAATATATATTCAGTTTTATTAATTATGGTCTTAACTTTATTATAATTTAATAAATTTTAATAAATATAAATAGTTAATTTACATTTAATAAATTCAATAATAGCAAAATAAATAAAAAAATAAATGAAGTTTTATTTTTTAAACATGTCTAAAATATAAATGTATAATTTTTTTAATAAAAAATGGAGTTGTATAAAATAAAAAGTGATGAAGTTGTATTTTTAAAAATTATTAAATTATATAATTATATATATATATATAAATTTATATGCATCTATATATATGTTTTGATCTGATCAACTTTAAATATCTATAATTATTTTTTTATGTATTTATAATAAATATATAAAATATTTAGATTGAATAAAAGTAAAAAGTGTAGTTGTATTTTTAAAATATTAATAAAAATATAAGAGTATAATATTAATTAAAAGTAAGTGGAAAATATGTGGGACCCATAAATATGAGTTTTATGAAGTTTATTATTATTGGAGGTTTATGAGTGTAGAAGTAAGAATGGGGTTTTGAGTGATGTGGAGTGTTGGGAAGTGTAAAAAGAGATTTATGAAGATGTATTGTTAAAGATGCTCTTATTACATGGACAAGGTTTGAGGTTTAAGGTTTTACATGAGGTTTACAAATCCAAACTTCTCGCAAACCTCTTGTGTGGCCCCACATTTGTAACAATGTTTCAACTTTTTCTATTTTACTAGTATTACTTTTTTAATGAAAATATAAGTTTTTATATTAAATAAAAAGAAGTAAAAAATATGTAGGACTCATAAAAATAAAAGTTTATGAATTTTATTGTTATTGGAGGTTTATGTGTGTAGGAATAAGATTAAAGTTTTGAATGATTCAATTTGGAAGTGTAAAAAGAAGTGTACGGGGAGTTATCATTAAAGATGCTCTAATAAAGAACATGTTTTAATGATCCGTGTAAGGTTTCGTTCAATTAAGGCAGCCGCGTGCCAAACCACACAAAAAATTGGTTCAACAATTACTGCTTTTACATCGGTTCTGCCACCCACATTCAATTTTTTCCGCTCAACTTTATCCATATTTTAATTATTATTTATTTATTTATTTTTCACAGAATCACAGGTATCCCGTGGGCAGTTTTTGTATAGCTTGGCCACTACGTAACAGCTCACGAGCCCTTTTACGTCATTTTATCCGTCGGCCATGGCCAGCCACCTTCTCCTTTTCTTATAAATGACGATGTGTTTTCCACCTGTGAGAGCTGCCATTTTTCGTATACTTTCTTTTCCCCTCTCTGCAGTCATCCTTGACGGGAAATACTTTCTTTTCCCCTCTCTGCAGTCATTTTAATCCTCCTTAATTATTTTATCTCTTCACAATTTCTTTATTTTTTTTAGTCTGTGTGAATCTGTTTGTATGTATATGTTTTCTGGTTTATGAATGTACCATGTTTCAATTGGGTCAATCGGCTGTTTGTGGTTCGCGCGTCCGTGCTCTGCAAATTTGAGCCCGTGTATTTGCTGAGTTGTTTTGTTTTTTTTTTTCGCACCGTCAGAGGAACCAAATGGTTCAATCGGGTTATAGACTTTCAAAATTGGGGTACTTTGAATTCGATTGACGCTCTCTCGCGTTCGATTAGGGTTTGATTGAATTCAATTTATTGTGTTTTATTTTATTTATTTATTTTAATTTCTCATTGCGTGTATTTGCTAGAAGGGAAGTTATGAGGAACTTTCAATACAGGGTGTCAACGCCACCAGCCATTTAACGCATTCAGTTTTGTCGTTTTTTATCTCAAATTCATCTATTTATTCATTTTTTCTTTTTAGTTCGGAAAAAAAAACAGACAGGAGTTTTAGGGGGAAAGAAAAACTTGAGTTGAATTGAAAGGGGTTAGTAATAATAATAAAAAAAAAAAACAGGATTTTTAGTGATTGGTGGTGGAATGAAGTGCAGCGCCTATAGGGCGTCGTCCAGTGAGTTATGGGCGAGGCAGGCAAGCGGAGGAGGTGGGGTGAGCTTTGAGAGTGAGCATGATTTGGCCGTGATGGTTAATGATTTCTTGGAAAATAGCAGTAACAGTTGTGGGACTGACTCAAGATACAGCAGTGATAGTGATTCCAGCCTCTCTGATCTTCTTCTGCTCTCGCACAAAATCTCTGTTAGTCTCTGTCTCTGACTTTGATTTTTTTGTTTCTTTTGTTATATGGTAAATCTTTCTTGTAGCTTGGACGGACTTATCTAGATTGGGAAGTACACAATGGGTAAATTTAGAGGTTTACATTTGCAAAGAATATAGATGTTTGGTTCATAGTTAAATGGTTATACAAAAATGTTACCGTGGAATCCAAAGATCTTGCTTTGTAATACTCCATGAAATGGTGGGAACAAACAATGTGAAAATGTGCTTTGTGTTGACTGAAAGAGAGGGCTGCTGTATTTCATTGTTCTATATTGTTACTGTTGTATAGAGCATGAATAACCTTTGTGGTCTGTTGCTACTTGTGGATTGGTGTATTGAGAATAATAGAGTATAGTATATCCCAAAAAACTGCAACAATGTTTGATACTGTAGAATTAAGCTTCATTGTTGTACTCTGGTTTCCACTACCTGTACCTGAGGTTTTTGTGCTGAAGCGAAGTGGTTTGTTCATGAGACTTCATTAACAATGTTCATGTTTAATTAGTCCTATGAACTATGAATGATTCTTTATAATACAATCTCTTGGAGAGTACTTCGTTTTTCTAACCCATACTCTATTACATGTGCGTGTCTCGATTATATTTTCTTTACATGGTACATCTTAAAAATGGGTAAAAGAGATTTGGGGGCTAACAAACTCACTTTGTATTGATTGTATAGTCGACCTTCTAAAGCCAGAGTAGTCCTCTCTATCTTTTCATGTGTTTGGTCAGAAACAGCTCATAATTCCATGGATAACATTTTGCATGTTCCTCCATTGTGTACTCATGTGAATTCTTCTTCGTAAAATATTTGGTCGTTCATTTTTTTTTTCTTTTGTTTTGCTCGTGTCTTGGTCCGCATATCTTCCTTAAACACTTCTATCTCCTTTTCAGTACTTCAAGTTGGTGATGGATAAGTTCGAGAGTGATTTGACGTCAGTAGTCAATTCCCTTGCACTCTCACTAAATGAAGGAGACCTCACAGCTGCAGCTCCCGGCCTCTGCAATGCTAGCTGCATAAGATTCTCTCTTGTCAACCTTCTTCGGCTATCAGGATATGATGCTGGAGTGTGCACATCTCGTTGGCCCGGGACTGTCAAGGTTCCAGGAGGTAATAATTCCTTCCATTAACGACTGAGATAATCCAGTTACATTTTCAATGTGACAAATTTCTGATTGTAAGATGCAATCATGAGAGAGATCCTGATGTTTATTGTTTTGCTAATTATGTGTATATTCTTAGTTTCTTAGAGAAAAATTTTAGCTGGGTTTTTTACTGTAAGATTTTATGTATAGTTACGCCTCATTATTTTTTTTTTTCCTCAGGTGATCATGAATACATAGACGTGATTTACTACAACGATACTGGCACAAGCGAGCGTTTGATTGTGGATATCGACTTCAGAAGCCACTTTGAGATTGCAAGGGCTGTCGAGTCCTATGACAGGATATTGAATTCCCTCCCGGTTATTTACGTCGGTACCCTCACAAAGCTCGAGCAGTACCTTCAGGTGATGGCCGAGGCCGCTCGATCGTCTTTGAAACAGAACTCGATGCCTCTTCCTCCGTGGAGGGCGTTTGCGTATCTTCAAGCCAAATGGTGGTCTCCACATCAGAGGAGGTTCGATTTGGACGAACGGAACTTTGAAGGCGGTATTCCTCACGAACAGCATAAATGTGGTGGCCATCTCAAAAGCTTGAAATCCTTAATTGTGTCGGATATTGATGGGGAGCGGATGCATTGTGGTGATGCAAGAGCGGAAGGTGGTAGACGAAGAGTGAAAGGTTGGAGGGCGAAACTGTCAAATCACACGTAGCTCTTGTTCACTGCAGGAAACAAGATTGGCAAAAATTCATCATTTTTTCTCTTTTTCAGCGAATTATTATCATTTTTGTGCGGCAAAAATTAATCATTTTTTTTTTCTCTTTTCAGTATTATTATCATTTATGAGTGGGATCAAATGTCTCAAATATGAGAGTTGTGAAAAATAATTTTTGTGCGGCATCAAAACTGTGTCAATATGAGAGTTGAGTGGTGAGGAAATTCGCCCCTATGTGTAAGACTTGAATTTCTTGATCCTACCTTTCTATAAATTCATCCTTTACAAATTTCTTGTGCCTCATTGCGTTGGTTTTTTTTTTTTTTTTGTTTTTTTTTTTNTTTGTTATTATTTTATTTATTTTTCTATTTTGTTATTATTATTTTAGTCCTAAATTTGGTAGAAAAAATATTTAATTATAGGAGTCATTTGTTTATTAGGTAAGTTATATTTTTAGGAAATCTATTCAAGACTCCTATCTTGTGTTTGGAGGTAGTTGATTTTGATTGAACAGACAATACGAGAGTTCTCTCTCAATTATCTTATTCGTTTATGCTTTTGCTACGTCAGTTGGTATCACCAAACCAGTACGACTCCTACGACATGCCGCTAAAACGGAATGACATTATGGATGATAGGCGCGATGTCGCGAGCCGTTCTTCTTGGAGTAGTTCGAGGTCTATGGTTTCGGCTTCAATTAGGCGTTTTGACAGTTTCGAGAACAAATTTTTAGATTTTGCTCTAGTCTTTTGGGTGGTCGACCTGGGTTGTGCTAGTTACTCGGTTCGCCCACTGCTTTCATAGATGTCATGCCAAAAGCAAAGGTTTCAGATCTACGAATGTTGCATCATGCTGGGCTTGGTTTGTTTGCACGGGGAAGGGCCTTTGTGTTGTTTTCGTTTAGTTTAGCTTTGTTTGTTTTATGTGTCTCTATTGTTTGTGTTTGTTGTTGTGTTTGGGTTGTGTTTTCTCCTGGGTGGGAGCGTGTCATTCTAATGTTGGGAGAATGTTATTCTTCTGTTGGGAGCGGTGTAGTTTGTTATGCTGTGGATTTGCTAGCGTAATTGCTTCTAGGCTACCTCTGTGTAGACCTGCTGGATTCAATTGTGTGACTGTGTAGCTATTCTAGCTATTTTGTAGCTGTAATTATCTGATTTTTGGTTTTATATAAATTCTAACGTTATGGGAAGAAAAAAAAAAAAAGATATGATGAATAGTGAGATATCCAACTGTAAAATTAGTAAATTACTACTCATTCTTAGTGCTATTTTCCTTTAATTTGGTGGTGGAATAGCAATATGTAGCATATATATATATCCCCCTTATATATTAATTTAAAACGTGCCGAACCTATGTGGCAGGCTCGCATGCTTCGGGATCTTATGGGGCAAGATTACATGCTTCGTTGTTAGGCTTGGATAGATTTAATTTACTTCTAATCCAAAAATATTTAAGTTCGGATTATCTATAAATATGTTAGATTATTTATGGTAGGGGTGGGCACGGTCCTGGATTTGACTTGTCCGGATACTCATCCTACTTTTATGAATCGGTCTATAATCGATTCGAGATGAGGCACCATCCCCATCCATGTAATACATGAGTGTTGTACTAGTAACCTTATTATTTAAAAACTAAAAAAAGTTAAAACTTTTACAAGCGTCGGCACAATTTATTGCATCTGGTTTAATCGCCTTATCATATGACATCAGTCATCACACCACCAACAAAACCACGAGAAAAATCCTCCTTTACAGTTTTTAGTTTTCACTCTCGCACCACCTCATCAATGGCGGACAAACCACCCAACCACAAAATCAAGAACAAAAAGCAAAAGCACCACCACCCAAACAACCAGACGGCCAAAATCGCTCCCGATCTCTCCTTCAAGCCCTCCTCCGACGTCAAGGGCCTCCGATTCGGCGGCCAATTCGTCGTCAAATCCTTCACGATCCGCCGCGCGCGGCATCCGGAGCTCCTCCGCCTCCTCTCCCTTCCGCCGGCGCCGCTGCCGGCGTTCTCCTCCTACGCCGCGTTTCTCCCGACTAATTTCACGATCCTCGCGCACCACGCGTGGCACACGCTCACGCTGGGCCTGGGCACGCGGAAGTCGAAGGTGGTGCTGTTCGTGTTCGGGTCGGAGGGACTGAGGGCGGCGGCGGAGCGGACGTGGCCGGCGGAGATGCCGCTCGGAGAGGTGAACCGGAGGATGATCCGTGGAATGGTCGGGTGCGAGATGGCGCGGTTCAAGTTCCGGAAGGGGTGTATCACGTTCTACGTGTACGCCGTCAGGAGGCGCGGCGAATCCGGGTTCGGGTGCGCCGAGGAGCTGAGGGCGATTTTGGAGGCGGTGGCGGCGCTGAAGGATTTCCTCGACCACACGGCGATGCTCGCGATGCCTAACCAGAAGAGTATAAACTACGCGCCGCCGGTGGCCGTAGCTCATTAAAACTAGCGTGGTCGGTTTTTTCTTTTTCTTTTTATTGAGGATTTGACCTGCAATATATTTTTGCTTTTATTCTATTTATGTTTTTACTTGTTCATTTTGTTATTTTTTGCATTATTTATTAGTAAAAAAATTATGATTTTTCCATTTAGTGTAAATGTTGGGAATTGGATGCAGCCAAATCGGGAACTATTTATTGGGATTTATTATTTGAATTTTGTTACTCGCATTTTTTTCATTATTTTAGTGGATTTGTTGTTGTTGACTTGTTGGGTTGGTCAAATAATTACCTGTCCAACATTAGAATGGCTAATATGAGAATTTGTGATAATGTATTTCTATCTGTTAAGAAAACTCGAGAGAGAAGGAAATGTGGATTTGTTATTGTTTCGTTAGAACCATAAAGATGTGCTTTGTTAGACACATATGTGATTGGTAAGGAGTTAAAACTAATTAAAATCATTTTTAATACAATTAAATAACATCAATCATTTCTCTTACAAACAGGGGATGCAGACTTTAACGACAACGGAGGCAGAAACTACGGTCAACGGTCAACTTCGGAGGTCAACGGTCAAATCAATATTTAACCAATTAAAAAAATAAAAAAAAAAAATCTTGACCAAATACTTTTTTTCTTATTTAATAGTTAGAGTTGAGTCTCACATTCTCATTTATGAATACGGCCACATTTGATCTAATTCTTATATAGTATATACATTTATGTATAATATTTGTTTTTTTTTTTATAGCATAAGCATAAATTCAACAACTTAAAAAATAACATACTATTGTAGCTTAAATAATTATAATATTTCTTTTTTTATTTATTTATATTGAAATAACTTTGCATAATAATTAATAACATGTATTTTTATATGTCAATATAAATACATTTATACATATAACATATATATACTATATTACAAAAAAAATTGTAGGGGCCGTAGGTACATTCGCCCTGCTTATACATTGCATCACCTTAAATTAACTATTCATTTGCTTACATATTTTTAACTACTATTACTTCAATCATCTTTATTCTACTTTTACATCCTATCAACTTTAATGAAATATTATTTAATTATAATCTCTCATCCTATCAACTTTAATCATCATATTTTATATAGTATTGAAATACAAACTTAATTTCTCACTCAAACCAAACTCAATCATTTTTTCTCAAAATTAACTCACATTATAAAATAAATCCAATCAAATCCAAAATAATTTATATCGTACCATATCAAAGATAAGGGTTGGCATCAACAAAAGTATGTTGATAGTGTGACTATACTTTTGATTTCTTTTTCTTTATTTGACAGTTGCAATGTGGTGGACCATCCTATTAGGATCCATTATAGGACGTGGAGCTATCGAGACATATCATATGATCAATAATAAATATATAATGTGTATATATTATAATATATAAGTACTAGGCACCAAAAAAAAAATAAAAAAAATAAAAAAAAAATAAAAAAGGTACTAAGGTGCTAGATAAATGATTTATATTGAATTCTTAAAATAAAATGTGAGAGAGATTTTTTATTTATTTAAATTTTAAATTCTTTTTTTGACAAATAATTTACTATTTATATTTAAATATCATTTTTATGGTTATTTTTAATTCATTTGTTATGAATTTATATATGACTTTTTGAATTGACGATATATATTTTTATTAATTTCTAACTAGTATTAATAGATGATTAATTTTATAATATAAACACAAAATTATTTTAAGTTATTATACAAATAGAAAAGTTGTTAAATTTAAATATATTTACAATTTCGGTTAATCAAGTACTCTATAATATTAGAAGTCCTAATAGGCATGAGTATAAGTTATGAGTTACTTGTACTATTCCTAATCAAACACATGGTATTATGAAACACCAAAATTGATACACCAATTACAAAGCATCAGAAATCACACGTAGGATCGAGACATTCTGCCTTAATATATAAGGAGGGATATTTGTTTGAATCGTGAAAATAAAACACTTATTTGTGACACAAATTATGGTGTTGGCAGGTGAAGTGAATAAGATTTCACTCGAGCTCTTTCGACTCGGCCAGCCTCCGTACCTGCAAGAACTCAACGCCGGGAGGGGTCCCGGCGTCGGGCCTCTGACGCTCAAGTCAGTATCACTCCAAATCCCAAGAGTATAATTATGAATGTAGGGAGAGTGAAAGAATGGAATACCTTGGCCCCCTTTTATAGGGGGAAATGTACCTTATGGCCCAAGTTGGACTTATCCAATAGCATCATGCCACGTGTCCTAACCATGTGTAGACTTATTCTTCAATATATTCTCCTCTTATCCATTAGGACTGGTCTAGTATATAATATCCTATATCAGCAAGGTTCTCACCGTGAGACTTGTCAAATTATTGATTCAGTTGTTAATTAATGGGGTCAATGAAAAACTATTTGGATCGATGCTTAATTTGTTAACATTTTAATATATATAATACTTTACGTAATAAAATTTATAATAAAAGTATTATTAATTAAGTTTTTGGAGATGTAAAATGCATTCAAATAATTAAATTAATTGATAAATAATTTATATATATATATATATCCATTTATATATATATTATATTATTAAAAATATTTTTAATATTGGACCCCTTCGACCGGTCGGTTTTTAGTCAGTTTAGCCGATCGTTGTCCGATTCGTCTGTTCATTCTAGCGAATTGGAAGTTTGGAANAATTGATTCATATAACTCATTACTCACACTTTGTGTTGTTAGTTGTTACAATCAATCAATCATGGTTGGTTGAGAGACACAGGGAAAGGTAAGCAGTAGCCATCCTATCCTCACTCATAAACGATGTTTTGGATCTTTTGTACATATCTTTTCATTATTATCCTTATTTAGTTAATAAATACACTATGTCTTTTCATATTAACTCTTCATTTTTTCCCAAAACATCCATCTTTATTTTCATTAAATAGAGTTATTATTGGAAAAAAAAAAAAAGTTTCTTAAAATAATTGTGCAACTTCTCAAAACCACATATATTATGAATATGAGGAAGTATTAATTTTTTAATCCCGCAGGCTAACAATCTAACTTTTTTCCTTCAAAAAATGTGAAAGTTATGCGAATGGTTCACATATCAATTGCATAATGGTCACAAATTTATTACACGATATTTCACACGTTAACTTTTTCTACCCAAAAAGTGAGTTATGTGAATGACTTCACACTTCTAACTTATACACTGGTAAAAAAGGTTAATCATCAATTGTGATGTAAAATAGTATGTCTTTGAAACAGGGCGAGAATAACTATTTTTTCAAATATTAATACCACACAATACCGTGATATGTCAATATGTCATCTCTAAATTTAAATCACATAGACAAGGAATACTACATATATTAATTTATTTCATTTTAGGTACCCACTTAGGACGGATGATGGATTGGTGGCCAACCGTCACATGAATTATGATCCTCACACGGATTTTCTGCTCACTCACTTGATCTATACACTTGGGACACCACTCCCTTCTCCTTATTCCTCCAATAATATATA